ACAGGGAAAACTTCTAGCAGCTTCTCACAGAAGCCACCCCACTACCAAGACCTTGCCACAGAAACCCAATACATCTCTACATGTTTCATGCTCTGAACTTTCACCTGTCTGCTTAAACTGAGTGACATTCATTTGCTCACGCTTGCAGATAGTGAATGGTTCAAAGACTGAGGCTGCCCTTGAAATGCTGTCTTTAGGAAGCCCCATAAAAATGGAAGTATCATACATATTTTGTCTCAGTTTACCTGCAGTTATCAATGAAAAGGTTTTAGAAGTGATTTTTCACTGTTATGTCTATTAATATTCTCAAGATTATCTTTTTTATGACATATTCTTCTACGTTGTATTTCGTGCTTCTTGGACATAAAGGATGAAAATGTAACTGCTTTCCAGGAAGCTGAGGAGGAAATAAAAAAACCAGATTTTGCAATGCAAGTATGTAAAATTGTATTCAGTTTGATTTAGCTTTCTTCTCCTTTTAAGAAAGGTACTATTTTAAGTGGTATATGTTGGCCCTTATTTCAGAATAAACGAGAAATACTGAGGAGACTAAATCAAAATCTTAAAGCTCAAGAAGATGAGAAAGGAAAAAAGGAGTGTAAAAATATGTCTGAATCAGCTGGGTCTGAAGATAGTGAAGAACAACAAGAAGGTGACCATCCACTTCTAGGAGATCGCAAAAAATGGGAATCTGGGGCATCTGAGTTGGTAGTTCCTCTAGCTCAGTTATCGATGGAAGATTCTCTCTCCGGAACAGACCGTAAGTACTTTTTTAGTCACCACGATATTAGTAAATCAGTTTACCATGTGTAGTGTCTGTTTTTATAAAGCAAGTACTCTTTATTATTATTGCCTTATTATCAGTTGCATGTCATGTGTTTCCAAAAAACAGGTGATTATCAGGTTGAGAAATTAATTGGCCTGCAGGAGATTCAACAAATTATTTCCTATTTGCTCAAATAGTTACCTGATTAAAAGCATGGTTGCTTTCTTTGTCTTTATCTTTTAAATAGGCACTAATTTAACAGAAATAATAAAAAGCACTTAAAATATATGAAAGTTTCTTATTTAATTTCAAAATTCTTTTATGATATCAGTAGAACAATAAAAATGGAGGGTTTTCTCAATCTGTATCTATTACTTTCGTTGTGTCATTCATCAATCTTGGCTTTTTTCTTTTTTTTAAATCAAGCATGTCTTTTGAAATTTTCTATCTGCCTTCTCTGGGCGTTTGGGTAGAAGACCTTTTTCCTGGTTTTGGTGTATCTTATTAAGGGTCTGTTTCACATTGTAGAAATAAATAATCATTGAGAATGTGACAGACTTACTTCATAGCATGGTAGTTTTACGTGGCTAGGATATTAGAAGAACAAGAAAATACTTCTTTTGCTCTATTGTTCTGTGTTGCTTTATATCCTCTGTTTTCCTTGGAGGGAGAAATAACAGAAATAAATGTCAAAGGATAGCAGGACAAGAGACTTTCTAGTTTCCCATTTCAGGTAAAGACCATCTCATGCCAGTTTTAAGTATTTCTCATGCTGTTTTCTTTTGGAGTGCCTGAATTGCTGAAAAGATCTCCTGCTTCTACTAAGTTGCAGATATTAACTGGCATTGAATAACTCCTATTATTAAATGGAATTGGCAGAATTAAAACTCTATAGACTTTTGAGGACAGTCTTTAGGCTGTCTGACTTGGGGTGAGGTGGCATGAGTCTGACTTTGTAGTTTTTAGTTTTGTGGAGGTTGTTGCCTGTTTGTGATAGAGAAAGTGAATAGAAGTTTCTAATTTCTCAGAGTTTCTATATTTGTGCTTGTGTCCCAACAGGACAAACTCTGGGGGAAGTAATTAAATTAGATATTGGTGAACCCCACAGGAAAGTCTGGGGAAAAAGTCCTACTGATTCAGTCCTGAAGATCCTTGGAGAAGCAGAGTTGCAGCTGCAAACTGACCTACTCGAGGAACTAGATGTAATAAATGGTAAGCACAGCTGGTAATTATCTGCACTGCAAGTGTAGGAAGTGCCAGATTGCCAGTTTGTCTACTGAGAACAGTTTTGAAGTCTCGGAAGTATATTTTATCCTGGCTCTTGCTTTCCACTTCTGGGTGTTGCCTCAGTTCTAAATGTGTCAGCACAAACTGATACTGGAAGACACAAAAATATTTCAAACTCAGTGAAGTGGTAAGAAATTAAGGATGTGCTGAAAGGGAAGGTTCTTAATTTTGTTGAAAAGTCTTGGACTTTGCTTATTGATAGAACCAAGCCTGTTTTTTAAAAGGATGTCGTCAACTGAATATTGTATTACATAGGTCCTACAACCTTCTTGTTAGCATGTGACTTACCATATCAGTGGATTTTTTTCTTTTGGACAACTCCTGCTTTTTGTCCTTTCCAAGGCAAAAGGACTTTTGGTCTCAAAGCATTGTTTAACTAACAGAATAATTTTGTGTTAGGTACTGCAGAACTTCTTGAAGGAGATCATCAGTCCTTAATTGTAAAAGAGGAGAAGGAAGAGAGAGCTTTTCCTACAGTCGGAGCTCAGTCTTCAGTACCAGCTGGTGTCACAGAGTCTGACGTGACTATACCAGAAGAATCTCGAAGAGTTGGGCCTACACAGGTGCAAAGCAAACCTATTATGCTGGATGGTAAGTAATTTCATTAGTAATTCTGATAACAATCTGTTTTCCAGCTCAATGAGGGAAGTAATGATCATGTATGCTTTTACATCTTCCCATAAGTAATGTGCAGCTTTTCATTAACACCTTTTAGGTAGGACCAAGTGCTTTCCATGCCTGTGTTGTAATTTGATTCACTAACATATTTCATAAATTTCCAGAAACCTTTTTTTATGTGTTTATAGAAAACGCTGTAGCAGACAAGTGGAATTCTGAAGTGCTTCAATTTTGTTGTTGTTGAGGTTTTTTTTGTTTGTTTCTCCTCATCAATTGTACTAGAATGTTTTTCCCTATATGATACCAGCACGCTGTTAACAGCTAGGGGAATGTTACTGAAGTTTTCAGAAGGCATAGTTTGTTGGAGCTTTAAGATACTTTTCTGGTATCAGAAACAAACTTTTAGCTCTGGGGTTACAAAATTTCAGTTGTTTTTGCAAAATGCAGAAAATTATTACAGTTGAATGGTTTAAGTGTAATCTTAAGATTTATAGTCACTCCTTTCTTTTTGTTTGGTTAGGATTCATTTTTAATGAGGTATATGACTTTATTAATTTTAGAGCCTGATGATTTGCAAGCAGAGATGTTAGAAGAAACAGAAGAAAGTAAAAAGCACCAGAATAAGGAGAATAAGGAATTTCCCATCACTGTTAATGAAGCATGGGTAAAAGAGAAAGAGGATAAGTAAGTACTCTTTTCTTCTGATCCCTCTGTCTCCAGTTTGAACAACTAGCTTTAACTGAGTAGGGTTTAGTTACATCAGTTAAAATGTTAAGCTTAGCTAAAGCTTCATTGCTTGTCTGCCCTGTTACTTTTGCTGCGCTTGGTGGCTGAGGATTTTTTTCAGTAGAATGATGACTGTTTTTACATGGTGTTTTCCCCTGGATGTGGTATTTCATGATAGAGCACAACACAACAGAAGAAATGAAGCAACTTCTGAGAAAGTAGTGCTTGACAAGGTGCAACCACAAAAGGAAGCTCCAGAAGGTTGGTTGAAGACTCTCGTTTTGTTTATTGTAGCTGGTGGTATGGAGTACTTGAGCTATCCCTTCTCAGTTCTTCACTAACCCTAAAAGAGCAAGTCTTCTGTTTTCATTTGCTTTTTTTAGTTCATACTTCTAAAAAGAAAATTTCTGATGGATTAGGAAGACAAATTGTGGGTGTTATTTTTGCCACTTTGGAAGAAAATTTGTAACAACAAAGCTACACTATGTATAGATGAACAGGGCCGCGGCCCACACTGATACTTAGAAGTGAATGTCAAGTTTCTGAATGTTATGACCTTTTAAAATGACTATTTAAAATGTTATGAAATCTGATGATTTTACTTAATTTTAAAAGTATTGCTTTGTTTATAAACATCTCAAATTAATATTAGAGCTGCAGCTTGGATAAAAAAAATGTTTTAAGCAGCTGCTATTGATAATCTTTTATCTTTATTGCATAGAAGAATTGCTTGCTCTTGGAGGTCTAAGAAGTAACTTCAGAAGGTCTACATATTTTACAGTATAATAGAAAGTACATGAGCAGTAGTGTCAAGGATCATTAATGATACTCTTGTGTCTATCTATGGGTGGCTTAAGCAAACTGGTTTGATTTGCTGGGTTTTTTTGTTTGGTTTTTTTTTTTTTTTTTTTCCTCCAGTGTTTGTGCAAATTATGTTGAGGTAGCTTTGAAGAAATCTAGTATAAGGCAAGAAGCAACAAATGAAAATGGATGACACCATAATTTCAGGCATGGACTGGATAATGAGAAACTAGAAGTCATGAGACCAGAATAGGCTATAGCTGAGGGCTGTATATTCTCAAAAAGTTAAAACGGGCGAATTTCACATTATAATGTATTTACTAAAATAATCCAAAGATATTTTAATACTTTTACTTTCCCCTTTAATTGTACAACAGATATGAGTTAGTTTTATTCATTTTAGTTACTTTTTGCTCAAGTGCTTGGGGTGGTTAATCTATTTAGATTTGTAACAGACTTTCTTTTACTACATCAGAAACTTGCTCCAGTGACTCTCTGCAACCTGAACCCTTATTCCAGAGGGTAATACAGCCCCCCGCTGTACCAACAGCCTCACCAGTTCTGTCAGCTCAGTCTTCACAGGAAGAATCTTTTGTACCTCGTTCATGTTCCATATCACCAGCAAAAAATAAAGGCAAAAGTTCATTGTTGATTGGACTTTCTACAGGGCTTTTTGATGCAAACGACCCAAAGGCAAGTTTAAAAAACTAAAAGGAATACTTGTTTTTCTATAGTAATATTATTCTTATTTTCTTGTTGAGGATGAATGAGGCCAGAACAGATGGTGTAACTGTCTCAGCAGGTGTTCATATTTGTCTAGCCACATCTGCCCTGCAGTATGACTGCACTGTCTTCATTGTATCAGCAGGACTCGCGCAGCAGTGAGAGTCTCAGGTTTCACCATTCAGCGTTCTGTATACAGGTGTTTGTGGAGGAATGCCACCGCTTCTCTGGGACAGAACTAAGGAAGCTCATGTGGATATTCCAAACTTCCCCTATCTGCTTTCTCCCTTTTGTGCAGTTTTTCAGACTTACCACTACCTTGCCATCATAAACATAAATACTGAACGGATCAGCAAAGGTGTATCTTATCATTTCTAGCAACCAAGTGAGTGAGTCTTTTTTCCTGTAGGATTTAACCAACTAGCACAGGTTTTTGCTGTGAAGCAGGAAGAATGAAGAAGAGTGAATGGAACTCACCACTTTCTTGAAGGTGTTTCCTGACCAGCTACCTAGGGTTGAGTGGCGGCTCACAGCCTGTGAAATGAGCATAGGATGGTGGAATATGGTTTTGATATGAATTTAAAATATTTTAAGAACAGTTATGGAACTAGTAGATGAAACAGACTTCTTAAATTAATGTGCAATACTTGTCTGAGTTCTAAAGTGGAAAGTGCATAAAAGAGGAGCTGCTTTTTGGAGAAACTATGGTGGCAAGGGTTCTCTGGAAACTTGCACACCTGCGTTGCATTCAGACAATATGTAGTAAAGGATTTCCTAGGTGGTGGAATGCCAGATAAGGAAGAATGTTTCTTTTTTTGACTCCCAGCCTTTTTTTGTGAGTGCATGAAAGAAGTTGCACTGTTGATGATTAATTGAATATTGAATAATATCTATTGGTTATACATTCCTTGGAAGCATAACATCAGGGATAGCATTGTTTGCATTGTGGGAAAAGAAGGCTTTTGACAAGCTTGCATCTGTTTTCAGATTCTTATATTCACATAAATGGATTTATGACTCTAATTTTGATTCCTCAAGAGTTTGTCTATCATTATGAAGCTGTTTATCTGGCAGTTGGACTGCAGAAAAGCTAACTTGTGGGGGAAGATGAGCATTCTTTGTACCCTTATCAGATTTAGAAAGTAATGGCTATATTTTATAATTAAGTTCTTCAGTGTATCAATATGAACTGCTTCAGCATGTCACTTGTTACTGCATATTTGGCATGTGTTTTGGCTGTAAGAGTTTGTCACTGAATTGTTAATGCGGTACCAGATGAGCTCTACGTGATAGCAGAGATCATGGAGATGAGCAACAGATATGTGTTTACTGTTGCAGTAGACTTGATGAGAGAGAAACAAATGCCCTTTCCTCGTTTGGTTGCAATAAGAGCGTGTTCAGTACTTCTCTGCAATATCTGCAAATGTAACTTCCTGGAACTTCCCAAATACACCTCTGCTACAGGTCTTACCCAGAAACTAGGGAAACCGCTAGCAGGCAGCAGGGCAGAGTTAGTGTCCTACCTGCAGGCAGGTCTGTACGCTGACAGAAGCAGGCTAATAAGAAAATAAGCATTTTTCCAAAATACCTGGAAACTTTCAAATGATGGTGTAAAGTCAGTCTTCTAAATGTTCCTTCGCTTTGGTAGTAGTGATCAAAAAGGGTGGTTACTCCTTTGATAGCAATAATATTCTGGCCATCTGCTGACAGAGATTAGATATTTGAGCATGTGTGTGAAAACACTGTGCCGGTATACTTTGCAGCTGAGGAACTGTCTCTTTTATTAACACATAGGGGGGTTCATTAGGAGCAAACACTGAACGTGCATGTATTCAGAGCTATGCTGAAGGAAGGTGAGGCTTCTTGGTAAAACTTCTTAATGCAGATTAGGTCTTGTTTCTTGTTTTATTAATACTACGGCAAATATTGAATAATTTTGGGGGGTTCTTGGACATTGTAAAAGAGAGATGTGGTAGATCACTGGGCAAACAGTTACTTTGTTTCCATGTTGTTTTATTTCTGTTGCAACAAATTACTGTTGTGATTTGAATTTCTTTCTAGTACTTCTTGTGAAGAACTTTTCTAATACTATGGAACTGCCTTGAAACACACCATAAACAAAAGTAACTGTTTTCAGTGATCAATCTAGAAAAATAAGAAAAAAGTGATTTTAAAAAATAGTTCTTTGCCAGCTATTTAAAATGGTTCTAAGCTGTGATTGATTGACATACATACATTGTAAACAATTGCATACGTATATAACTTATCTACTGCGATGTTCCTTTTCTTTAGGTAGCCATCAAGTTAATGAACAAATCTGCACAAAACCAGGATCTGTATGTCCGTTGATGTTCTTTAAGCTTTTCAATCACTAACCCCTAAAGGCAGAAGGAATGCTTTCCTTTTAGCTGAGAGGCAAAATTCAAGATGTCACACTTTCAACAGTTAAGAGTATCTGTGCTGGACAAACCATTATTTTGAAATTGACCTTCAAATGAAAAAGGACAAAAAAAAAGTCTCATTTTTAAAGTATTTTATAACCTCAGACTGTCTTTAGTATGGTTCCCAAACAGGCTTTCTGTTACCTTTGCAGATGTTGAGAACTTGTTCGCTCCCGGATCTTTACAAACTGTACAGAACTTTAGTTGATGTTCCCAGCATAGCAGATATGCAGCATCAACATAATCTTGAAATAGATGATACGGAAGATGAGCAAGCCAAAGAAGGACCCTCTGATTCTGAGGATATGTGAGTGTACCAATTTTAGCAAGTATTTCAACAGGCATCTTAGAACAAGAGTATTTTTTGGTTAGACACTAACAACTACAGGCAGTATACCAGCATGGGGTTTTAGCAAAATTTTAAAAATCCTGTGTTGAATCGCCATTTACTTTGAGTCTTGTTCCAGAGAATTGGGAAGCTAATGGGATGTACTGCTGACAACAGCTGTCTGAATTTCCTTTCCAAATTCAATCCAAGATACTATTCTGTCTGGCTTCTGCACCTTGCATTCCACTAAGGCAGATCAAAGTTGATGGTTACCACTCTTTCAGAATTAAGGATTTCTTGAATATTTCCTTTTTTCGTAAGTTCTGTGAATCTCGCTCATCTATCTTCTCTACTCTTCTATGGGGATGTCCTTCAGGTCCCCCAAATTCTTTTGGGAGCTTCAAAATCTGGCTCTTGACTGTTCTCTGCAGCTTGTGTAGTATCTGGTGTATCTATTCTGATGAGATCTAGATCTCTTTTTTGGTTTTTGTTGGGGTTTTTTTGTTGTTTTTTTTTTTTTTTTTTTTGCTCCAACACATTTTTATCTGGATCAGGAATGTTATACTTGCCAGGGTTCTATAATAGTGCACAAATACAAAGATTTTGAAAATATCTTACTAATAAAGTTAAAAGATGATGACAGGTCCTCAATTCTACAAAATAGTCTGCTGTTTAGCTAATCTTTATTCCCTGTGTCTCGAATGATGTAATGGTATCAATGCTGTGTCGTGTTGAACACAAATATTTGTGTCTCTTGGTTTTTTCCTTTTTTTTCCCCCCCGCCTCCAGCTACATTGGCTTTCCAGTTTATTGGCTTAACAAAAGAAATGAACTCTTCCTACTGGGTTTGTCTTGTAAAGTATCAATAATATAAACCTTATATCACTTTCTTTTAGTATGTTTGGGGAAGCAGATACAGATTTACAGGAACTCCGGGCCTCAATGGAACAGTTGCTTAGGGAGCAGCCTAGTGAGGAATTCAGTGAAGAGGAGGAGTCTACTTTAAAGGCTAATGCCATCGAATGCATAACAAATGGCACAGAGCTGGATGAAGGAGATGAAAATAACCCCAGCAGTGAAAGTGCACTTAATGAAGAATGGCAGTCAGGTATCATTTCTGTTAGATCTGGTTTATAAGTTATTTATTGATGTCAACAATTCAAACACAGAATAATGTTTTTGCATTGCATACTTACAATGAAATAAAGCTCTAATTAATAGTTTTTATATGGAAGTTTAAAAAAATCTGGTAATATTTAGACTTTCCGAACGTTAAGGTCAACATCTAAGCAGCATTCAATGTTATAAATTAAACGTTGGCTATTTGTTAGGCAGTGATTGCAAGTCACTTTTTCTCTAGTTGTCTAAAAGTTGTCTTCTAGGAAGATCAAAGACTCTGTGTACATAATATGTTTTGAATAATTCATGACTGCAGGGTAAGAGTGAAAAAGAAATAGCGATTGACATGACTGGAGTATCTGGGATCCAGCTTACATTACAATTAAGTAATTAAACATGCAATCAAACGGAGCACGAAATTATTAACCTTGTCCTTAGCCCAAAATAGCTATTAATGCAGTCAAACTAAAAATGAGACAGAAAAATTTATTATTGCTTTTAGCATTTTGCATTAGCTATACACAGTGGTGTTGTGAAATCTCAGTTCTGTTTTTCAAATTCTGGTTGAAATATAAGTATTTTACTACTGCTGTAAAAGAAAAGTGCATTTAGAAATAGAGGTGTAAAAAAATGCAGAAAACCAATAACTAAGCTAAAACATAGTTTTTGTGTAATTTTGGTTTACTGAAGACAGTTTTAAACAAATTGAAAATCCGTGAATATACCTCTAAGATGTTATCTATATAATACATTCTAGTATTTTAAGGTAAACCAAACTTAGGTAATATCATCATCCTCCATTTTCTTGACAGTGCTGGTGTTGCACACTGGTAACATACAATACTACCTGTTCCATGATTGTGGTAGTGTTGCAAGCGTTACAGTATTTGGTGCCAGTGTCCCACCTCCTAGATTCATGGCATTCCATAAGAGTTGCAGGTGTCATTGTTGGGGGTGAGAGGAAGGCCTTCAAAACTCAGGGGAACAGACAGAACTTGAAACCAAATCTGTTCAAGACTCAGAAGTTAAATACAGGATTAGAAGTGGGCTTTTCACCCATAGACAACTTTTCTTTTTATTTCAGTGATCATTTCTTATTGATATGACTATTGATACTTGAACCAGGGATAGGATTTGGTCAGGATTATACCGTACATTAGTCATATAGAGGAATTGAAAGAAGTAGTTTTAACACTTACTCACGGAGTCTGTGACCTACCAGGCAATAGTATGTATCTTTCAAAAGATTTGATAATATAAGCTCTGAAATCTAAAATGTTGTGTATTTTTCCCTGGGTAGGTAAGTCCGTTCACAATTCAAATACTTATTTAAGGAAGTACTTTTCTTGGGCAAAAGCAGTTTGCATTTTATAATAGGATTTTACGTAGGGATTCTGTCTTGTGTTTTTAAATAGATCCTTTTTTTTGTTGTTAAACTTGTCTAATATTTGACTGTTACAAGCCTACTTGTAAGGATTCCGTAGCCTATAAGCAAAATCTTGATTTCTCTCATATATCTTACTGCACCAATTGGCATACTGTGTTTGCTACACAAAGGAGGATGCTCTCATAAAAACTGCATCTCCCTGTGGAAATTAAATAACTGATTCTTAATATACATGTCTTTATTTTCTGCTAGAAGACAGCTGCTTCATTAAGGAGCTCTTTTCCCTAGTGTGGGACAGCCACTGAATCCGGCATCGGTACCCCCTCAGAAATACATAGAATGGTTATACAGAACCCAACCTACGAACGTTGCTTTGCTAAATGGAAGTCTGCTTTAAGACCGCAGCTTGTGTTCCTTCAGCAAGAACGCCCTTATGGCTAACTATCGGAGCGGGGTTCTGGAGGAGCTGGCGAGGTGCTTCCCACTGGGGGTTCAGAATGCCTTTGCTGTTAGGAAAGGGACTGTTCCTATGCCCTTGCAGGTTGTTCAGGCCATCTGCCAACATCGCTCCTGGGCTTACCACCTTTCGTTGCGTTTAGAGGTCTGTGTGGGTATCAAGTTTAGGGACGTAGAAACAACATTAAGAATGTAGGAAAACTGAGGGGCTTTTACTGCTGTTTTCTTTCTTTATAGATAATAGCGATGGAGAGATTGCCAGTGAATGTGAAGAATGTGATAGTATCTTCAGCCATTTGGAAGAGTTGAGATACAACCTGGAGCAGGAAATAGGCTTTGATAAATTCATTGAAGTCTATGAGAAAATAAAGGTTTGTGGAATACCCTCAAGTGGAAAATATTTTAAGAAACAAGTACCTAGGGCTGTTTACTGATGGCATTATGTGACTAGAATCGGTGCTTACTTCTTTAGTCTTTTATTCTGTTTAAACACACTAAAACATTAACAGAGAAAATGCCATGCCAGCGGATTAAAGAGGAAAACTTTGGGTTTAACCATGAATTGCATTTAATAAACTTGACCTCTTTCATTCTACGCATGTTTTAATTTTGGCAACATGGACTGTGCTTTTTCCCAGGCTATACATGAAGATGAAGACGAAAATATTGATATTTGTTCAACCATAGTTCAGTCTGTTCTTGGCAATGAGCACAAACACCTGTACGCCAAAATACTTCACCTAGTAATGGCAGACGGAGCCTACCAAGAAGGTAATCTCACTGTATCCTGGCAGTTATGTTTTGGCTTATGTTCTTCCTTGGCCATATACAATAGGTTCCAATAGACTTTTAAAGCAATCTGTGCTTTGTTCTATTGATTGGTTAAATTGACAAAAATAATGTTTTTCACAAAGGGTATTTTTATTCCTTCAGCAAAACATGGCAAACTTTGATTATGCATGCTGACTACTCTGATTTAACAGTATGTACGTATACAGTCAACTGTAACAGGAGTTGCACTGAAAGGTGCAGTATAATTATTTAATTTCGATAAAACAGTTACACAGATTGGGAAGTCTAGAATAAAACTTTCAGAAGTAAAAGCAATTTTATCTTAAGAATTAATGAACTTTTAGCTAAAATAATACTGTTCTTTCCAACGGGTTGCAGTACCACTACTTTTCCAAAAAGAAAATTTCATGTGGCTCTCTACCCTTTAACTGTCATTAGAGGTACCATCCATCTTCATTTTCAGGTGGCTCAGGAACACATGAAGAGAATTTATCTTGCTTGGGAGGCCTGCCTAGCTTAACACAGATCACTTAGGCAGACGGACAGTTCCTAGATCTTTCAGAGCCACTCTATGAAACACCACACAGACCACTGTCAATGAGAAATGGCTTGGTTTTTTTCTTTTTTCTCTCATGTCAAAAGCTGAACTGCAGTTATGTAATTTTACATGTCTAATGATGAAAGTCTCTACTGGAGAGAAAAAAAAAAATCTAAAATCTCAATTATTTTTATAGAAATCAGAAGCATTATATATTGGCTTCAGAAATGTGCAATGATCACTATTTAATGTATTTCAATTTCGAAAAAATATTCTAATGCCTGTTAACCAACGTCTACTTTCTGCATCTTCTAAATTCTTTTACAAGTGTGGTGCAATAGCAGTGAATAAAAGGTCAAATGAGATTATGGCTTTCTGGGGGTTTTTTATGTAAATGCTTGGGAGGAAAAAAGTTTTAAAAACATAATAATTAAAAAAAATCTAATTTTGTTTTCCCAATTTTTCTTTGCTACCGATATAGAACCACTCAGTAAGAATAACCAGTATTGCATTGTTTCCATGCTGTTTTATAGAAGTATGACAGAAAAGTGTCTGTTTTTTCAACCACAATTTACTGATTTAATGACAGAATTGGAAAGATACGTTGTAGTAGTTAATTTCTGAAGTGTCCAAAAGACTGGCAGTATAGGATGAGAAGAAAATGGTAACTATAGTGTTACCAGTTTCTTTTCCTTTGCCTTAAGGATATTCCAAAACTAGTACTCAAAGGCTTAAATGATGGCTTGCTGAAATGTTGGCATATAAATTGTAAGGTGTTGTCTGAGTGAATGCTATTAAAATGAGCTGACTTTCATCTTGCAAAATGCTGATTAGCAAGTGGCTATTCTTAATAGCTTCTGTTCTAATTCTGTATTTTACAAATCTGTGGTAGCATACAAAAATGTAAAGAAAAAGTAGTTCTTTACATTTCAGGCATTTAAAGCACATGTAGTACTTCAGTACTGAAGTACATAAAGAACTATGTTAAAAGTAGTTCTTTACATTTCAGACATTTAAAGAAAAAAATCCTGTTCATAAAAGTGAACAGAGGACAAGTGAGAGTCAGAAGCATGTTCAAGAGCTGCTGTCTCAAAGTTTTGTACTCTTCAAATAAGAAAAAGTTGGAAAAAAAATCTGTATTGCTTTTACTAAGAGGATTGTTCTAACTGAAGCAGGCTGCTTGAGATGAAACTATCTTAAATTCCCTAATCCAAGGAAGATGACATGTTGTTCAGTATCTGTACACATAGTGCATTCCAGGGCAGTTTTGGTAGCAGTCACCTGGCTGGTGACCGACTTGGTGAATTCTTGTATTATAGAATCACAGAATCATAGAATGTTTTGGGTTGGAAGGGACCCCTAGAGGTCATCTAGTCCAACCCCCCTGCATTGCTTGGTAAATTGTGGTTTCTAGATTGTTTTGTCACCCCAGCTTTGGGGGGTGTGTGTGTGTGTTTGTCAGTCCTTTTCATCCTGTCTCTCCCCCTCTCCTCCTTCTTTACAGATAATGATGAATAAAACTGACTCAGGAAATTCCTTAATGCTGTTCTGCGTATCGGTGTTTGAAGTCCGCACAGCTGAATAACATTGTAGTGGAAAATGTAACATGGGCCAGGAGAAGCAAGACTTCAAAAAAGAATGTTGATTCTATGAAAAAGAAAAAAACATGCCTTTAAAAACTGAGAAACTTATACACTTCTCGTGTGTGTACTTGCATATGTGTTCATTAAATATTAGATGCCCAAAAGCTAAAAAACAGAACAAAAACCAACAACAAAACAAAAAAACCCAAACCTGTAAAATTCTCAATTTCCAAAAGGAATATAGAAAGGAATACCTGTAGATAACTACTAGAAGTTACAAAGTTATAAAAAACTGAGACCTATAATGCAAAACAATTTCTGCCCTGTCAACAGCTGGCTGGTATGGTTAAGCAATTGGAAGCATTACTGTGTTGTGGAAGTACCCACATCTAGCTATTCACTTGCATACTCAAAATAGCCTCTCTTTACACCTACATCAAGGAATTACTTCATTTTTATTGACCCTCGTGGTTGTATTTTAATAGCATCTTAATCTAGTGGTCCAGGTTGAATATTTTGCTTTTTTTCTTAAAAAAGAATTACTGTATATAGAAGCTGAAGGCTTCTGTCACTTTTTAAACCAGTGTCACCTGAAATATCTTACTGGTGTTTCTAAATCAAGGCGAACTGGTACTTCAGTCATCACTGAAATGTCTGGGGTCTTTTGAGATTGTAAAATTAATTTGGAGCTAGAATACTTTTCCCCAGTATTTTTCTTCCCCTTTCCAAAGCCCCAGGTATTTAGCTCTTTTGAGTTCTGTAATCTGGTCAATGGTGATGCAGTATGCTGTTGAACTGAAAGGAGTGGGGGTTTTCCAGTTTGTTTTTAAATTCTTACTGGGACACTCATGGCTCCAGAAGCTGTGGTGGTAATGGAAATCCTGCAGGCACAAGTGCTAGGTAATACTTCCCATCTCTTGGCTCATGTTTTGTAGCTTGATTTCCACCACCCCAAAAGGAAAAATGGGTTTCTTCTGACCCACGCTTCCTTGTTCCTCCTGTCAAAGCAGTGCTACACAGGGCAGGCTCTAGGCACACTGTTGTTTTCCAGTCATCACCTCTGGAACAGCTTTATTGGCTTTCCCATACAGTAAGTCTCTTGATACAAATATGACGAACTGTCAAACTTCCAACTGCCCTAGTGGAGAAAACCAGATTTTTTTTTTTTTTTTTTCCCCCCCAGCTACAGCCAGTCACAATCTAAAACTGTCAAAAGTTACTTTTCCACAAAGTAAAAATTAAGTATTTATATATTATTTAGAAATGTCAAAATATGTACATGATTTTTGTATAATTGTTTTATGGTGGTGTTATTAAAGTTTTGCCCACTGAAAAGTGTTAATTTTTTTTAAACACATCCAATTCTTAAAGGTAGACCAAACTTACTCTATTTCAGCTCTTTCCTGGGAACCTGTGATGAGAATAAAATTAATAATCATAAATGCCTTTAAAATATTAAATTATTTATGTCCTTATTTACTTGATGAACACCTCTTGCTTCATCTGATGAGAAAGTATGATCATTGTTGGAAACAGCGCTGTTCCTGTCCTATGCCGCTTCTCTTCTTCCTTTTTTTTTTTCTGGGTGGTTTTTTGGGGTGGGGTGGGTTTTTTTGTTTGTTTGGTTTGGTTTTGGTTTTTTTTTTGGTTTTTGTTAAAACTTTCCACAGTAAATTGTGGGGCTTTTTGCTAGGCTTCTCTTCCATTCCACTTGTCACTGCTGAATGAAGTATTCAGAGAGATGATCCTCATGAGCTACATCATTAATGATATGTAGCAAATACACTCTAAAGGCTGTAATAAAGAATGAGTCTGCATTATTTTCCTTTTTCAGGCTTGCTTTTCCAATCATACCTTGCCCACCTTTTGGGGGAAGGGAGAACCCAAACCCTTTAGATTTAAAAGAATACAGATTAACCATACGGAAAGAAGAAAATACCCCAACTGGTATATTCTGTACTCCAGGGTTTTGAATTTGCTCAAGGTGATACAGTCTCACTGAAGTTAAGGGCTGGGGGTGTTTAATTATTTTTAAATTGAAATCGTATCATCATTGACATTCTTCATTTGTTATGCAGTGCGCTGGCTTGCTTCTGGTAAGAAAAATGGACTTAATCTGCAGACTTCAAGCTTTGCAGACGTAGAGCTTTTTATCAATGATTTGAAAAATAGGTGTATATTGTGCACAGCTTTTCAAGAATAATCTTCAAACCTGCCAGCCAATGCTGGATATCCCTGAAATCCCTCAAGAGCTAATTTAAAACTGACACAGTAAATAAGTTCGTCTGCTAAAGAAATACTTTTTTCTGAAATTTTAAATCCCTATTTAATGTACACTATAATGACATCAAGGAAATGTGACTTCAGGACAATTTATTGGTCTGTATGTAATAACTCATTAGTTGAGCATTTGGCTTGTATTCACATTACATTCCATATAAAGAATTTTCTGTTGTAATTCTAGTAGCAAATTGAGATATAGAATGGTATTTTTGGCACAAAACATACTCTGTAAACTATTTCACATTATGTCCCTGTCCTCAGTCTGTCTTGACCCCTGAAGCCAACTGTAGTTCAGAGGAGGAATCTTGGAAAAAAAAAAACCAAAAAAACCCCAAAATACAACCAGCCACCCACAAAATACACCCCTCCCAAACTCCCAAAAACCCAAACCCATGTTGTCTCTGTTGTGCTGCCCCGCAGACATGGCTGTAGTCCACAACACTGGAACCTCCCAGCTACCTGTGCTGTTTGTAGCTATACGTACACCTCGAGTTTTCTGACCTTCAAGAGAAAGGAGTAGAACCCCAGCAGTGAGGCAGAACTCGAGAGCACGAGGCCTCGTGGCAGGAAGATGGAGTCCTGGCTGCAAGCCGGCTTTGTTTTGAGCTGAAGAGGTACAGTAATCCTATCCCCAGCATTGGAGCCGAGAATATTTTTCGAGGTACAGAGCCTGAAGAGGCTTTTGCTCTTCAGGTTGCTGCACTTTGAGTGTGTATTTGAAGTTACTGCTTGAAGGTACTTCAGAAAAATGTGTGACCTGGTTGGGCAACGTGAACCAAAGCAGATGATGAACATTCCTGCGGTCTAGGTAAGCTGATGGCTGACTGAAACAAAGTTCCAGCGTACCATGTTCCCGATGGGGTTCTCTGTGCTCCTGAGACACCTACATCGCTTATCAATAGTTCTTATTTCAGCTTTTAGTGCTTCTGTCTCCCTCTTGCTCAGAGCTGTGCATGCATTTCTGTGCTCTAAAGCTTTACAACCTTGCCTAAATCTGTTGAAAAGTTACAAAATGTTTTTTTAAGATTGTTTTGTTCGGTGGTTGTTGGTTTGTTTTTTTTTTCCACATTTGTTTGCAGGGGAAACTACACCCTTTCAAAAACTCTGTCCTCAACTCAAGACCTCAACTGCGTGTTCTTAGGAGAGCATTTCA